CTGGCTATTGCTTTTTAACTCTTTTCTTCTCATTCTTTTGTTTCCTTCTTCCTTCCTTAGAATAAACACATTTTGTCATTTCATATTTTCTTAATATTAGTTTAGAAGATGTATCTTCTTCTGCTATTTCCATGGTAACCTGGAGATTATAAATTGTGTCCTCAATAAGATCTAATATTATTCAGCACTTTTTTTTTTGGATAATATAAGTATTAACTACACTTTATCATGTATGTTAATTCTGTATAATTTAAGGCCCATAAGACCGTATCACTACCATCCAACTCAGCTACTATTAGGATTTAAGTCTAAAATGCCCCACAAAGTTCTCATGTGTCTGGAAGATTTTATACTCATCCTCAAAGAGCTATAAAGCTCTTAGAAGCAAACATGGGTAAATCTTCACGACTTTAGCTTCTCAGACCTGAAGCCAAAAGCACAACTGATGAAATAAAGATAAACTGGACTTTATCCAAACGAACTGCCCTTTGCATGTTCTCTTTGGTAAAATGCCCTCTTCCTGTCTAACTTCATTTCTGTACATCGAGTTTTGAGTTCAGGTTTTGAGTGTTGAGTATTGTTGCTGCTGGCTCTTCACTGGGTATGGTTTGCCAATAGTTTTACATTTAACATTGAAATCTATGAGATAATTAGCACCTAGATCCTTAGAGCAAGGCTCTGTTCTTTCCCTGCTAGTGTATAATTGCTTCATCCCCCTGTATTGAAAAGTCTCCTCTCTTCAGATTGCTTTTGCACCTCTGACAAGAACCATAGGCACTTTGGCATGTCTGTCTCTGGTTTTCTGTTTTGTTCCTTTGGTCAGGGTCCCTACCTCCCCACCAACACCACAATCTGCATTCCTATAGCTCTGTAAAAGTCTGGAAGTTGGTTAAGTGATTACTTCCACTTTATTCTTTTTATTGAGATTACTTGCCTTTCTATATAAATATGAAGAACAATCTTGTCTATGTTTTTTTAAAAAAAACCTCCCAGGAATTTTTCTTAAGAATGACACGAAACTTGTACACAGGTTTGGAAAGACAGGCCTCTGCACTGTTTTAGGTTTCTCAGCCTGAGACCAAGGTATATCTCATCTCATGGATGTAGATTTTCTTCAGGAATATTTTGTAGTTTTTGGCATACAAATCTTGCACACACTTTATTGGATTTGCATCTAAAGTTCTCATTTTGAGGACAGAATTTGTAAACAGTACTATATTTTTAAATTTTAGTGTTCACATGTTCATTGTTGGTAAGTAGAAATACAACAGATTTTTGGCGGGGGGCGGGGGGCGGTACCAGGAATTGAACTCAGGACCTTGCGCTTGCCAGGCAAGTGCTGTGCCACTGAGCTACATCCCCAGCCCTACAATTGATTTTTGGATGTCCATCTAGTGTTCTGGGGTCTTGTGAAGTCATATACAGTTCTAGAAGTCTTTTTGCAAATTGCTTGGGATTTTCTGTGTCGACACTCATGTCCTGTGCACGCAGGGGAAGTATTGTGTCTTCCTTCCACCTCTGATGCCCTTTATCCTCTTTCCTTGTCTGTTTCTTTGTCTTCCGGCTAGAACTTCCAGCACTCTGGAGTAGGAGCGGTGAGGGTAGATGTCTCGCCTTGTTTCCAACATCACATAGTGTTTATTCCTTAAGGGTTACATTTTTAAGGCAATGTTAGGTGAGTAGCAGTACCGAACAGAAGGTATCGAGTTCTCATACCCATCCCTTCCCCCATAATCAAATTCCCCACCAGAGCTGCCATCAGGGAACCCACGCTGACATGTCGGTGTCACCCAGAGCCCAGATTACATGAGGGGCCACCCTTGGTGGCGTACATTCTCTGGGTTTGGACCCATGTAGAATGTCACGGATCCACAAGTGTACTGTCATGCTCTGTACTCTAATCAACCCTCCCTCTCTAACTCCTGGCAGTCATTTTATTGTTGCCCTATTTTTGTCTTTTCCAGAATGCTTAGAACTGAAATTATACTGCACAGAGCGTTTTCAGATTGGCTTCTTTCACTTAGTCACACGCATTTAAGGTTTCTTGGTGTCTTTTCCTGGCCAGAGAGTTCATTTCTTTCTCACACTAAGATCTCACTGTGGGGATGTAGAGCCGTTTCTGTAGCCGTCCACCAACTGGAGGACAGCTTGGTTGCTCCCAGGTTCTGACAATTATGAATAAAGTAGTTATGCACATCTGACTGCAGGCTGTGGCGTGGCTGGAAGTTGTCAGCTCCCCTGAAGAAATACCAAGGAGTGCACGTGGTTGGTTCCTACGGTAAGAGCAGGCTCAGCCCAACTGTCTTCTGAGTTCCTGGAGCTTCACCTTCCTTGTGGTACCTTGCGGTGTCGCTAGTCTGGATACAAACCATTCTCACCCGGCGCAGAGGTGGCCTGTTGTTTTAATCTTTCTCAGATGACGTAGGAAGCAAGCGTCTTCTATTTATCTGCTATCTCCCCGTCTTTCTCGCTGGGGTGTCTTTGGCCCATTTTAAAAATCGGTTTGCTCATTTCCTTGTTGTTTTGTTTTGAGAGATCCTCATCTTTTTGCATCACAGCGCTTTATCAGAGGGGTTGTTTTTGCACATTATCTCTCCCACTCTGCAGCTTGTCTGTTTGCAGAGCAGGAATTTTAAATTTTAATGAAGCCCAGCTTATCGATTTTTCCTTTCATGGCTCGTGCCTTTGATGTTTTTAAAAACTCATCCTCGGATCCGAGGTCATCCAGCTTTATCTCCTGTTATTTTCTAGGAGTTTTACAGTTCTGCATTTTACACTTAGGCCTATGATCCACTTTGAGTTGCTGTTTTATAAAGGGTGTGAGGGCTGCGTTTGATTCCTTTTTTTCCCTTTTGCACGCGGAGGTCCAGTTGTTCGGCGCCATTTGTCGCGAAGGCTATTTTTTCTCCATTGTGCTGCCCTTGCCCCTTTGCAGAGGACCAGCCAACTATATTTACGCGGGTCTATTCTGGGCGCTCTGTTCTATTCTATTCTGTTCTATTGATGCGTCTCTTCTTTTGCCAACGCCACGCTGACTTGTGTAATCTGCTTTTAAACCCACTGACTGAGGCTTGCTTTTTGGTTATTCTATTTTTTTTTTTCATCCCTACAGTTCCTAATTGTTTCTTTAAAAATTTCCTGTATCTTTTTAATAGATTGCAGACATTCTCTTATTTCTTTTGAGCATGGGAAGTGCAGTTGTTGAAAGGCTTTTGTCTCAACGTCCCTCCCCTGGGAGCTTCTGTGGATCTGCCCTGTCTACGCTGCCACCACCTCGTCTCTGTTGCTCCTTGTCACCGATGCCTCGCCGCCGGCTCTCTCCGGCCGGGTGCGGACAGAGCGAGCTGGACCCGTGGAAGAGACGCCCCGAGGTCAAGGGTGACCGGACCTCTCTGGGGAAGGAAGCATTTGCTGCTGTCACTTGCCAGGGCGTGCTGCGAACTGGGTGCAGCTCAGGAACTGGGGGCCTCTAGATCCCCAAAGTGGGACCGAGCTGTGAGGGCTGGTGCACCTCTACTTCTGTGGTGCAGGAGTCAGGGCAGGGCACGGTGAGAAGCCACAGCAAGTCCTCTGTGAGGGAGAACGGTACGTCCCATGTGTCCGCTCCTCATGGCCACCAGGAGCCAAGTCCTGCCCCCCATGCCCAAAGCCTGCCGTCCTGGAGGGCGGGTCCCTTGTCCTCTCTCTCCCTGCCTAAGCCTGCCCTGGTTCCCGCTGCCCTTGTGGCCAAGTGCCTGTCGCCCAGCCAGCCACCAGGCTCCCAAAGCCAAGCCAGGTGCTTCTCCCCTGTCCTCACTGCTGGCCGCACGGTGAGGGACGGCAGGGGAAAGACGGCAGCTTTTTAGGAGCACACGATGCTCACACCGCCCGCTCTCCAGAGCCCAGGGAGAGGAGAATGCATGTGTGCACAAGTGTGCAGCACATGGAACACAAGAAGGTCCCCAGGGTTCTCCCAGGGGGTCCTCAACGCACCCCAAGGAAGCACCTGTCTAGCGGGAGAGGCAGTCACGTTGCTCCTCCTGTCCCTACCCTTTTCCTGGTCTTTCTCTGCACCAGGCCTGAAGCTGTGGTCAGGGAGAGGGGGCTGCTGGGTGGACAAGTCCCCTGGGTTCCCCCCAGACCACCAGAGCTGGGACTGAAGTCCTTGGGGACATGGCAGGGGTTGCTACACACAGCCCTTGCGCCCAAAATGCAGACGGATCGGGACCTGGGCCTGCATGTTGCAGCTTCCTGCTGTGGCCAGCTTGGGGGATCAGGACCGGGTGGCTGCATCAGTGCAGTCCCCAAAGGCTTGGGACCGCCGCTACATGCGTGTACCGAGTGGGAGCCACCTGCCAGGTCTTGGCCGCCCACATGTGCTCTGGCCTAAAGCTCTCACCTTAGTCTATTCCTGTGCTCTTGCTGAACACCGTGGATGTGGTGACCTATGGCAGGAGCTCACTGGGTCCTGTTGGTTCTGGAACTGTGAGCCTGAGAGCCTGAGAGCCCAGTGCGGACATCTGCCGGGCATCTGGCCAGGGCCGTGGGCTGCAGCACAACCCGGCTGGGGGTCACACAGCAAGACAGCAGGGTGCCAGTGTGGGCCCCTCTTCTTCCTGTGAAGCCACTCACTCCAGCAGCTGGGGACCTCACTAATCCTCATCGCCTCCCAAGGCCCTGCCTCTAAATGCGGTCACCTTTGTAAGCTACGAACTTGGGGATCCCTGCGTCAAACCGCAGCTCCCTCACCAGCCTGCCACATGGATTAAGTGGCAGAATAAGAGGGACCCAGCACAGAGGGCGTGACTGTCCCTCTCCTGCCCAGGTGTCGGCTCCATCCCTCCCGCTCCACCTGCTGTTGGTGTTGGACCTCTGAGGTCCTTGGGATGAATGCACGTGACCAGCTCCTCCCAAGCCCAGGCTGAGACTCCAGACCCCACTCAGCAGAGTGACAAACCACACAGCCACAGGACCCTCCCAAAGGCACAACTCGTGACATTAAAGCACACTGGAATTCCCAGAACAGTGGATGTGACACTCCTTTATTAAAACCTAAGGACATCTTTATAAAAACTACTGTATATAAAGACAAAAGCAGCGTAACAGCGGTCAGTGTAAAACACGTCATTGTCACAGGGGAGGATATTAGTAGGAACAGTATTGGTTTTTTGGTTTTCCCGGTTATCAGCCGTCCTAGACCCCACCTTGCCACATGAAGCTGAGGTTTCCAGCACAGAGGGGAGGTCCCTGCCCCCCGGACCTGCGAGCCCTCATCCGGCTGGCCCTGGGGAGGACCACGACCTTTGGGGGGAGCTTTCCTGCCCTGTGGAGGCGACCGGGTGGCGGAGCCCGCACCCTGTGTCCCCGTGTACTTATTGCACGTCATCCAGGCGCCCACTGGTTGGGGATGTTGCCGTGACACAGGAAACGGGAGGGGAGGAAGAGACAGTGTGGGAAACTGAGGCACATTCCAAGAAGAGACCCTCCTGGGGCGCTGGCTGGGTGCCAGGGTAGCCATGGGACTGTGGCTCTGAGCCCAGGTTTCCGGGTGGGTGCTGCTGCAGTAGGACCTTTCCTGCTTGGTAGGGCCTTTCAGGGCAATGCTACGGGGACCCTGAGGTCCTCTTCTATTCACGTGACAGCACTGTGCATGGTGCCCACTCTGGCTGGCCTCCCCGCAGCCTGAATTTCAGTTAGTCAAGGGCAAAGGGGTCAGGGCTCTGATGTAAAAATAGGAGTTCTGGTTACAGAGTGATGAATGGTCAAATCTGCTCACTCACAAGCGGCTGTCTAGCACCATCTCTGTCTGGGTCCTGGGCTGGAAACGGGTGGGGCCAGGGAGGGCGATGCCACCTTCAAGGTCACTTTCCCGGGTGGGGTGGGCAAGGACTCATTCATGTGCAGGTTTGGTTTCTGAAAGGTACAGGGCATGACCCTAGCCTGGTGAGGTCACTGCCTACGGCCCTCTGTCCACTCGGGTGGCCCACGGAGACCAGGCAGACAGGGAGATGGAGCCCCCTCACCCCTGAGGCTCCTGATGCTCTTCCAATCCCAGATTTTCCAGGCAGCGGGGGCGGGGTGCAGTGTCACTATCCTGTCCTTGCCCCTCAACCCAAACCACCACAGCGGGGGATCTTCACTCCCAGAGGGGGCAGTGAGCTGAGCTGGAAAAGCAAGCCAATGAAAACTCTCCGAGCCTGCTGTTCCGGGCACCCTGTCTTCCCGTGGGGCACAGCCTCCAGCGGTCCCTGTAAGGGGGCTCAGCCGGGCCAGGACAAAGGACCGAGGGGCCACCAGGGTGAGACCACACCACAGTCCCACTGTTTGAAGTGACCAGAGAGGACTTCTGATGGGACCTGGGGGCCTCGGGGCCTGGAGCTGGGTCTCTCGGCAGACACGCCCGTTCTTGCCCCAGGGTTTTCCTGATGTTGTCTGGTTGGGGGAAACCCTATCTGCCTCCCTGCTGCCTCTGAAAGCTGCGGGCCCAGGAGAGGCCAGGTCTGCCTGCCAAGTCACATGTGTGCATGTGTGTATATGCACCGGCATGTATGTACACACGTGTACATGTGCATGGGTGATCTCACTAAAGCCCGCTGCACACGGGTGAGTCACTGTCACGTGAGCAGCCTTCCTGTCTGGGTGGGACCACAGCCCAAGGCTGAGCTTCTGAAAGACACGGCAATCACGTCACACACGGGGGAGGGGTCCCACAGACAGGAAGCGCTTGACCGGCACACCACGAGGCGCTCGGCGGTGGATGCGCTGTTGTCTTCTTTCCCTTGTTTTTTTGAGAGTTTTATGAGTATCGTTATAGATGGTGATAAGTTACAGGTGGGGGCCCAAAGCAGACAGGAGAAAGGAGAAGCAGGCGGCTTGAAAAATCAGACCTGGACATGGCTGAAAAGCCCTAAGCCTAGGAGTCTACCCTGGAGCCCAGCTCTACCCTGTCTCTGACTTCCAGGGACACACTACGGACTGGCACATCCCCAGCCACAGTAGGACGGGGAAAGGACTTTGTCCTTCCTGCCCGGGCAACTCTGAGAAGCTGCACTTGGCAGGTGAGCCCAGGAGGCTCTGAGAGGTCAGAGGGAGGGGACAAGGGACAGGTCACCATGTGGGTCCGTGGTGCTTGGCAGAGGAAGCATCTCTGTGAGCACCACCCAGGCATGCAGGAAGCCAGTGGCCTCTAGGCACCTGGGCTGACCCCCTTCACTAATGGGGAAACTGAGGCGGCAAGGGCACCGGCCTTGCCCGGGGTCACACTACCCTTAGCAGCACAGCTGATGCCAGAATCTGGATCTTGGGCGCCCCATCCCTGCTCCAGGATTCCTCCGACTCCGGAGGCTCCCACAGGGGCCTGACCCAGCCAGGCCGACCTGTCCACTGCTCTCCAGGGACATCACGGACCCGCATGGATGTGGCCCTGGAGCATGTCCTGGCGTACTCGGCACTGAGGGGAAAGGACTCCACGCCCACCCCTGCTCCAGACCCCACGCGAAGCCACGCTGTGTGTACCAGGCCACCCGAGCGCCACAAGGGCTGGCTAGCGGGTGGCCAGAAAGGGTCCTCAGCAAGGCTCCCCCGAGGGCTGTCCTCGTCCTCAACACTTGTCTCTTCACCGTCCGCCCGCCCAGCTGGAAGCGCAGATGGCCAGTCTGTGGGGGACAGTTCTACGACAGCACAGGTCGGGAGGGACACTGAGCTAAGAGCTGGGACTCTGGCCTGCTAACGTGGGTGCAGTGAGCAGGTCCATGCTGGCAGTGTGGCCTTGGGGATCCATGCGGTCTTTCTGTGTGCGTCCTGTGGGGATGGCAGTGGGGGTGACCTGTGGGCAGATGTTACAGGCATCCAGGTCTACGTGGAAGCCCTGCGCTACAGTGGATGGAATTCTAGAACCTTCTGCTTGGATTCCTAGCAGCCTTGCCGCCCTGCCTGCAAAGGTCCCATGTTTGTTTCTCCCCCCGGCTGGGAGGAACGCTCGTCCCTGTCACCGCCTGGCACACGGCGCTACTCAGACAGCTTGTGTGGGTGGACGGGCCCTGGAGTGTGCTGAGGGATCTGGGGTGACAGCTCCCTGCTGGGAAGGCTCTGGAGATGCCCTTGGTGTTGTAGGGAGCCCCTGGGCTGCAGAGTGACTTGTATCTGGGGATTTATGGCCTGGACTTTGCGTACTGCACTTCTGAAGCCACACTGAGGCTGGCCTCCCAAGCCAGAGGACCCTGAAGCCACACTGAGCATGGCCTCCCCTGGCCACAGGACCTGGGCATCTGTCCCCACCGTGAGCTGCTTCTGAAGGGATCAGTCACATCCGCCTCCCGGGGGCTGGGACAGAGTGTGCATAAAAGCACCTAACCTGGCGGCTGCCCTGTGCCTGCCCAAGACACATCCTTTACTATTACTTCCCAGGAACAAGCTCCATAAGAAGCAACCCTTTCTGGTGGTCAAGTCCCCAGTGCCACCCAAGCCACAGCAAGGCTGTACCTTGGGCCCTGTGCCCAGCCACCCCCATCTGGCTCGGGGCTGCAGCCGCAACAAGAGAGGACGCAGGCAGCAATCCCCAGCCACGTGGTGACCTGCACCCAGAGAACTTCCAGGGGAACTCCAATAAAAACTGACAAACAGAAGGACACCCCAAATCACGCACGCACACGCACTCACACTCGGTCCTTGGACAAAAAGGCCCGAGGGGCACTGTTGGAAAAGTGGGGCCGGGGAAGCTTCGGGGTTTGGACCACGGGTGGGACGTGAAGGTCTAGACCCCTCCGGCTGGAATCAGCCAGGACAGCTTTGTGTCGTTCATCTGAATCCACCAGTCACCTCTCAGAAGTCACCAGCCCCAAAGAGAACTATTGCTTGCAGACAGGAGGCTCAGAACCTCCTGGCACCCCCGGTCCCCACCCCTGAGTTTACTCTGAATCTTAGAAGACCACAGAAGAGGGTTCTGGGCACAGGTGGCGTTTCCTCCTCTGCCACCGTTGCCGTTGCCGCCGCCGCGGCTCTCTCTGGTGTCCCTGTCGAAGTTGTCCGTGGAGGCTGCGCCCGGGGCTTCCCATCCGCCTCCCCCATCCTGAGGCACGGCAAAGGGGTTTTCTGGGGAAGCAGAAGAGAACAAAACATCACTTGGTGTCTCCTCCAAGGGAACTTGCTAAGAACATTGTCCAGGGCCTCAGAGCCGGGAGGTGCCAGGCTTTCTCTGAACATGCGCCTCTGTCCTCTGGGCCCTGCGGACCACATGACTGTAAGAAGTCTGCGGCCTCTCTGGTTCTGCAGAGCACTAGAGACCCCAGCTCAAATGACTGGACAAAAAATAAAAGCAGAGTCAAGACTGGAACAGAAGAACCAACCTCATCATTAAGTGCAATAATCTACACAGAAAATCTAACAGAATCCACAGAATTAGAACAGAGAGTGCAGACATAAAGGTATAGGGGTATCTCCGTCCAGGAACAGTTCTGTCCACAGCTCTGGTCGCAAACTGAACGGCACAAGAACCGAACCAAATTTTCCCATCAGGTCAACATTGACCCGAGCTATTGAATTTCATTTGGTTCTCATCCGACTTGATTTGTGACCAGAGTCCTGGAAAGAATCAGGTTTGTGAACCAAGGTACCCCTGTGACTTCCCATCTGTAGGACAGCAGCTCAGTTTAGAACACTCGGTGGTGTCCGTCTGCCCAAGCTCGACTGCATGATTCGACACCTGTGGTTTAACACCTGTTTTCTGACACCCAGCTGACACCTGTTGTTTGACACAATCTCTCCCCTTTCTCCCTCAAGAGTATTCGGATTTGAATGATAAATTATACGGTCAGCATTGTCATAACAAGCTAAACACTATTTAAAAGAGATACAGATGTCATTTGTGAACAATAAAATCCATTATGTATCTTGGAATCACACCACCATACAGAGGCATAAAGACAGCAGTGTGCACCTCAAATAGCAGTGCACAGGGGCAGGCACGCAGCAACAGGCGCGTGGGAATCCCTACAGCTTTGATTGGTAGATTCAAGTTGCAAACAAGACAAGGAGGAACAGAAGCACAAACTCCATCCCTGTAGGCACCATAAATCCCCTAGCTCATACTTACCATCGGCAACTGCCCAGCCATAAATGCTAACCTTCCCAGATTTGTTTGCAGATAAGGGTGGTCACATGATCCAGCACAACCAGTGGTGTGGAAATGGAAGTCCACAGGGCTGGGAGGGTGGTCACATGACCCACTGCAGCCAATGCCTTTGAAGTGGATATCTACTAGGTTATAAGAAGGCCAGGATCATTGTGGGTTTTACTATATTGTCTGGGACTGGAAAATAGCTGGCACACAGTAGAAGCTTAATAAATAGTTCCTTTGTTTGGTATGGGGAATTGAACTCAGTACCTCATGCTTGCCAGGCAGGCTCTGTGCTGCTGAGCTATATCCCCAGCCCAATAAATAGTTCTTGAATAAATGAGCCAAGAATTTAAGCCCACATAAAGCATCTTCGAGGTATAAAGTCAGTAGGAAAACATGCTGAACAATATTTGAATTAGAGTTCCCATAAGCTCTTCTTAAATTTATGACCCAGCAAGCCAGAGCACAAATGCAATAACTCAGGCAAGAGTCCTGGCAGCAAGCACAGAATCTGTTTACCTCAAGGACCACGTGGGGAGCAAATCTGAAGATTAGGACTATTATGGAAAAGAGTGAAGGAGACAACCAAGGTCTGATATAAATAATGATATGTAGGAGGAACGGAGGGAGGTGATATAAGTAAATTATATTCACTTTAGCTGGGGCTTTAAATAATTGTTCAGAAGTTGGAGTACAATTAGAGGTGCAAGAGTAATAGCAAAAGAACCCAATCAACTGAAGGAACTTGGTGGGAAGGGGAGAATGGGACGGCGGGTATAAACTCTGGAGGGTCGACACCGTTCGTAGCAGGGGATAGAAGCCCTGCTGGAAGGAAGGATGAAGTGTGTCATACCGCACTGCGATTGCGAAGGTAACCATGGGATCAAAACACAGCTTTCAAATTATCAGAAGATATATACACAAAAAATAAAGAAAACAGAGGCCATATGGTGAAAACTGACAACCCCCACAAAAGCTATAAAAGCAGAAACCTACCATAAACTACTATGACAGAAATAAGCCCGAATGTATCTGCCCTATCAGTAAATGCTAATGAGCCATACACACTTACTAAAAAAGACAGACAGACCACAAACAAAACGCACTGAGGGCGGGGTGACTCAGAAAAATGTGTACTTAAAGCCACCGAACGTGGCACACGGCGGATTTTATGTTATGTGCCTTTCACCCCATTTAAAAAGAAAGGATGGGCAGAAGCGTAGTGACAAAAAGAAAGCAGGGGCTGTGATCTGGATAACAGATGAAGCTGCAGTTGGGCGAGAGCGGCGAATGAAGAAAGAAGTCACCCTGTGAATGTCGGTGGCGAAAGTCACCAGAAGAGCTGACAACAAGGGCTGCTTAGGTACCGGGTGAGGCGTCCAGAACCCGCAGCGCAGGGGCTGCTGGGCGCTGGGGTCACGTCACCTTCCCCAGGCCATCACCCGGGAAGCAATGACCACGTGTGTCTGTGTGTTAAACGGAACCTGCTTTTTATGCGAGCGCTCGGAAAACCGACTCTCAGACCTAAAATACCAAAAGTAGCATAAGCCAGCATTTCCTGATCGCAGCGTAATCAAATCTGAAAACACTTATAACCAAACCACAAACCACGCTGAATGCTACTTCAGGATGTTTATAACTCTTTATGATGACCGTAGAGTCAAACAGAACCCAAACTAAAAATGACAAAATATCTAGACAATCGCAAAAAAAAACAAACAAAAATCTCACAACAAAAAAACATTATTTAAAAAATTTTATAGATAAAAACATTTCAAAGCCCGTGTGAGGCAGCTAGGGCAATGTTCAAGGGAAAATTCATAGCCTCAAATGCTGGTCTTAATAATAACTGAGAACACAGGAGGTCAACGTCCAGCTGGAGAAGTCAGAAAAAAAAGGAAAGACTAATAATCCACGGGAGACGAAGGAAAAGTGACAGATAAATTAAAACCGAGGTGGAGCTGGAAAACAGCAAAAGGAAGAAGCTAATAAAGAAGTCCAAATGCTGGCTCTTTCGAAAGCAAGAAGACATGTTAACTCTGGGGGATTCTAATAAGACAGAAGATTGAAGACACAGAGGAAGAGCAAGGACTATCCCTACACCGCTTCCCAATTTCACTTTTCCAAGGCTCTGGCTGCTCCACAGAACCTGTCCCGTCAAGGTCAGGGAAGACGTCCACGCCACTCACTCCAGGGCTCAACTCTCAGCTCTGCTGTCACCTGTCCCCACCAGGTGGACTCCAGTGGCCACGCCTCCTGCTTCCGGGACCTCCAGACCTCACCTGGTTCCTCTCCTACATCCCCGGCCTCCTGCCCGGATCCTGCGAGTACCCCTCACCCCCCACTCCTGACACCCCTTCTCTCCGGGATTAGATCCCGTCTCTGTGCTCACGGCTCTCTAGTCTCCAACTCTCACCCCTCAAATGCCACATTTATAGCCAAACTGTCTACGTGGCATCAGCTGCATGTCCCAGACAACTTTTGTGCCCTACAGTAGAACCCCACACTTTGTCCCCAAACCAGCTTTGCCCAGTTTTCCTGACTTCAGTAAATATCCTTGGTCCCTCTCTTTCTCTCACACCCACTGTCCAATCAACCCACTCGCAAATTCCAGGAGCCCTTCAGAGACTGTCTCTGCAGGCTGTGTGCTTCTGGGCTGTCCTGGTCCCGGCCGGCAGGATCCTCTAGCCCGCCAGCACCTTCCGTCTACACTTGGCCTACTAGCAGCCCGGCCCCACTCCTCTCTGGTGTCCCACACTCCTCTTTTGTTTACTCCACTACAGCTTGAGGGTCACCCTCTTGGGGCGGGGGTGCCCGGATACTGGGTTATAAACACCGGGGGTGAGTCTGGGCGAGCTAGCTGTCTGCCTGGCCAGCTAAGCTGATGGCCCACTGTGGACAGCCTGGTCCGAGCCCAGCCCACTGGGGGCCTGGATGGAACCAATGAGAGCATCTGCTTGCTTTCTGTGCGCTGTCTCTGAGCGGGGACTCGGGGCTCGCGCCTTGAGCTGGGCCCGGGGCCCACCCTCTGCCTCCACACAATGGTAACCAGCCAAGGGTTCTCCCGTCTCCGAAGATCTGGGGACTTGCCAGCGGACACATTCAGGACAAACCCAGACTGTACCTCCCTCAGTTCCCCTCATGGCACCAGCACCACCTGTGACCATCCATCACAGGGCACCCACTGGACTGGCGTAAGCACTGGCAGATGGGCAGAGCACAGCTCCAGATGTGTCTGTGGACGACCGACGTGCAGGCTCACAGGGAGGGGAGACCCACCCCGGCTGTGGCTGGCCCCAGCCAATAGGCTTGTAGCCTGGATGGCACAGCCGGAGAAGGAGGAAGAAAGAGAGGGTGTGCCCTTTGCTGCCGCCGCCTCTGGACGTTGCTCTCCATTTCTTTGGCCTTTCATTGTGGACTTGCATCTGTGACCTCCCGGGGAGCGTCGGGGCCTTTGACCTGCATGTCGCTGCACCCTTGATCTCCTGTTGCACGCCTGCTGTCTTCTTGGCTGAGCGGCTCCTGAATCCCTGGGCGCTCCAGCACGCAGCCCACACACTGTGGGCTCTCCTGCCTCAGACCCTATGAGCTACCTGAAAGCCCCTAGACGCATACTTCCTCCTGACTCCACCTCGCCGGAGAAGCCTAAGGAACACGCTACCAGCACGCCTGCATGTCACATCCGTAGTTTCTCTAGAAAAGGAGGGCTTTTCGCTGCGCCGATCTCCACAGGGCCCTCGAGCGATGCTCCACGCAGATAGCTGAGCAGATGAATAAAGAGAGGAGGAGAAGGGGGATGGGGAGGAGGAGGAGGAGGAAGAGGAAGAAGAAGAGGAGGAGGAGGAGGAGAAGGAAAAGGAGAGCATCTACCGCCTGACGCTGCAGCGTTACCAGAAAGCCTCAATGAAACGCTGCCTTTCCAAGAAAGAGAAATCACTCAGAGGATCCAGGAAGGGAGAGCCTCAACAGACCAATT